GAAGGTTGTAATGTAACCTGTTAAACAGTCCATTCCATTCTATGATGTCCATGTAATTTAGTGTTGGGTATATTTTTATGTCGGGACGACATTTCTTAAGTGAGGGAGAATGTGAGAAATACAGACATTGTTCAAATGAGATTATTAYTTGTGTTACTGTTTTTGTGTATTTGACTGTACAAATACACCCCACACTTTTTTTGGGTGTATGTTTTAGCTAGATTGTTCATTTCTGAGAGTACTGGTATTTACTGGATGGCAGTGAATGCACCATGTGGAAAGGTTCTGAAACGTGAGTCTCTTGAACGTTATTTTTTCACTCGGACCCTGACCGCAGCAGAAGCACCATGTGTGTGGAGCCAGTTTATATCCTGTGTTGAGCTAAAAGAAAATAAATGTTTTGGATAAAAACTACTCCATTCGTCGACTGATGTCTTCAGGCTGCAACATAAATCTAAGTTTATTAGTCTGAATAATTTTTGATAATTCGACAAGGAAATGTCCGCAGTTTTCCTCAGATTAAAACGTAGTAAAAACTACCTTAAAAGTAGTTTAAATATCGTAACATTTGAGGTGTATTTACAGATTTCTGACCTGAATGAAGCCGATAAAGAGGAGTAATGAGGACACGATGATGCTCTCCATCCAGTTTCAAGGGGGAATTAGATCGGTGCAACAACCGTGCCGTCTAGTTATCGGTCCCCGGAACAACAAAAACACACGCGAAAGTTCCGCCGACCACTACCAGACATAGTAGGTAATAATAATAATAACAACAACAATAATAATAATCATAATAATAATGCATTTTATTTATGATGCGCCTTTCAGGACACCCAAGGACGCTGTACAATAGAAAAAAGTAAAAATGAAAAAAAAAAACTGTAGATACATATAATGATAAGGTAGTGTGGGAGAAACAGAAATGTGGAGTACAGAACAGTCATATAATAAAATACAATAACGCAGATAAATTAAACAATGGGGTTGTGGGGGAGAAACATCGAAGTGTGGACAACAAAAACAGACATATATTGAAAATAGGAATTAACAGCGGTAGGAAAATTTGAAAAGATGTGTCTTCAGGCCAGTCTTAAACAGGGAGAGAGAGGTGGTATTTCGTAATCCATGGGGTAGTGAGTTCCAGAGCTGCGGAGCAGAGCGGCTGAAAGCTCTGCTCCCCATGGTGCTGAGGCAGGCAGGGGGTACTGAGAGTTGGAGGGAGGAGGCAGATCTTAGAGAGCAGGAGGGTGGGGAGCTGTTTAGGAG